ACTGAGATGCTCACATCCCCCATTCATACAGTCATTAAACCAGCAACCCATAAAATCATACAAAACACGACCAGAACGCGTGACAGTAGCATCCAACATCCTCATCAGTCATCTCCACTTGCCTGTATATATGCTGTATGTGTGTGTGCGTGTGTATGGGTGTGTGTGTGTGTGTGTGTATGTGTGTACAGTATGCGTGTGGGGGCCCTTTCTCTTCACTCTGGCCCTTCGCAAAACCACCAGAAACCATCTCCCTGTCCTCTCTTTTCCTCTCTCCTCCATCCTCCCGTGTGCGCGCGTCGGAATGCCTGGCTGACCTCCGGCAAAATGAAAATAATCCAAAGTAATTAGAAGTGAGGCCGGGGTCTGGTCACGTGGGAGGGTCCTGCCTGGAGGGGGGGAGTGGAGTGGAGGGGGGGGGGGGGGGGTGAGCTGACCTTGTCCACATAAAGCGGTGATTTATGAAGTGTAGGGCGCAGCGGCTGAGGCTTCTGTCTCCTCCCGCAGTCAGAACCAAATGACTGAGGTGGAGATTAACACGCGGCGAGCTCTATACGGGCCCACTTCCCAAACAGACTGGAAGAAGGAAATCTTGTATTTGCGTATCCCCACATTCATTTCCTCTGCGCTGCTTTGGTAAATTTGATTGCGCTGAATCTGTACCGCCAACTATTCAGCGATAGAATGTTCTTTTGGGCTGTGCTTGAGTAACTTTTTGAAGTGGTACAAAACAGGATAATGGCTGATAATTTTTTGGTTGTTATAAATATACAGTTTATAGCCAAGAATAGCTGATGTCAAACCATACTTTTGTGCTGTATGCCGCACCATTACTGCAAATAAGGGGATTTATGGCAAGATTAGGCAAGTTTATTTCTATAGCACAGTTCTTATACCCAACAACTCAAAGTGCTAAGCAAAACAAGATACGCAAAAACAATTAGACAAGGCATTCAATGTATAAATAATCACAGTGCATTAACAAGAGAGAAGATACAATCCTTCAGTTCTATGCACAGCTAAACAAAACTGTTTTAAATCTGGATTTGAAGATTGTCAGAGTAGAAGCCTGTCTTACATATCCAGGAAGACTGCAGTCAACAATGTCTCCCCCTCTAAAACTAGACTAATCCAGATCTTGTCTTAAATGTCTGCATCATTTTTGAAGCTATAACTGAAAGGGTATTGATGTAATGATGTAACTGTACAGGGTTAGTGTAATTTGTATTTGCTGATTTGCTGAAAGTGTGAGAAGGGGTTGGAAATGTATAAGAGTCTGCTTCACCCAACCCCCTTTTCAAAACTTGTGACATGTTTTTAATTTGATAATTGATATTTGAATCTTGTTTCGTGCAGGTTTTGAAATAAATAAATGTATACTGTATATACACTGTATGTGCTATAATATTTCTCAGGTTTTAAAAAGTTGAGTTTCTTATGACCAACTTTCACATGTATGTATTTTAGGCTATGCTTTGATTCGGGTCAGTAATTGATAGTATTATTTTAAACTTTATGTTATTTTTTAGTTGTGTAGCTAATAAACCTACAAATTGTGACACTTCTACTGAAGCAATTACACCAGTGGCACCAATGGACTTAAAGGTATATGGTTTTTATAGTTCCGGGTGGATCATCAAAACTATTAGTCTTTCCTCAAATTTGGGAAAATCCGCCTATATTAAAAACAAATAAGACGAGAAGTGCAGTGCTGTCATGCGTCTTATTGACTGTGCGTGATGCTGGTTCGGTGCGTTAAATCACAATATTCCTGTCTGTTCATTGGTTTTCCCTATCCCAGCACTTCTCCCTTGGTCATTGGAACGCGTACCGCTCCACAGGGCGTTTATACTTCTGCTTCCATGCGCACGCCCCATGCCTGCACTGCACTTGGCTATATCTGCGCTCCGAGTACGAGTGCCACACGAGGGAATCCCCCCCTCCCTGTATTTCTGGGCCATGGCGCGTTGCAAGTGGTTTGACTGTGCAGCAAACTCTAAAATGACTATAGAGAACAATACTCTTGACTTCATTCATCAGACAAACAGGCCAAATCTCCCGGTTACGCGCTGAAAACCACTGCGCGCGTGGGTGAACTTCATAAACAAACCATTGAAGCCAGGGGGCAAATTTATTTACGCGATAAAAAAAAAACAGTTTAAGTTATCCACAGCACTTTAAGGCATCGCTACTTCTCTCCCCAAGCAAGAAATACTCGGATTGGCGTGATATGGTCTGGCCCTGCGTGCCCTGAGGCAGGTTTGGCTGGTAATTGGTTGATAAACAGCTATTGCTCCACGCCGCGCACTCAGCCCTCTCCATGCATGTTTGTGATTATTATGACAACAGCGAGGCGCAAGTCAGATAAAACACGTTTCATCTGCGTGCGCCTCGCCGTTATTGAGCTTTGATTCACTTCTAATAAATATCTTTGTCTAACAGGACTGGCAAATACACACACGCATTTGCTCCAGTTCAATGGTAATGCATTACGCGCATGCATAATGTAGAGTCTATATTGTGCATTCCAGACAATAATTTAACTTGTATGCTTTTGATTAGGCTTGTGCACACTGCATGGGGCAGTTTGGAAAATAAAGAGATGTGCAGTTTGTAGCCTGTATACGCGGGTCATCAAGGTCGAGCTCTTCAATGAGCTCGTTTTCACTGCACTGCAACAACATGAACAAAAGCGAGTGCAACTGTAGCATTTGGCTGTGAAGGGGCAAGCTGTGGTTGTGTCCTTAGGCAAGACACTTCAACCACATTACTTACATTGAGTCTGGATGAATGGTTGTTTGTGGTCGGAGGGGCTGATGGCACATACTGGTTGCCTCGCTTCTCTTAGTGTGCCCCAGGGCAGCTGTGGCTATGTGACCACCGTGTCTGCGTCTGTGAGTGTCCACAAAGCGCATAGCCATAATGTCTTTCTATTTGTCTGTTTGTTTTATGTGGTGTAGGTCTCATTTGTGGATATGTAATCTTTGTTTTGTAATCGGTTGGCCGAGCAAACCATGGATCTATTATATTAACGCATGAAAGGGACACCCTTAAAAGAGATGATTTATCTCAAGAGGCAATCTATAAATACAAATAAAACCGACATTTCATTATTATTAGTACTATTATTATTTTTGGTCTTGATTTAACAAGCATATATAGCTTATTTTTTCATATCAGAAAATAAAACACTTATTTTCCATAATCCTTAGGCCTATTGACCTATAGGTCTATACTCAATTCAAGTCTTGACTATAATCAACTTGTTGTCTATTGTTGCACTGTCCATGCACCCCCGTAGTGACAAAACATTTGCAAATGAATATCACATTTTCTAACAGCAGTGAAAAGTATCTTAAATTTTACTATTTAAGAACAAAAATACGAGCATTTGGGAAAGCCTGCTGGTTGAAGAGAATATACAGTTCTCAATGTTACAGCGACACTCGGGCCCGTATAACTGTCTGAAAAGTTTCCTTTTTACGACGTTACAGGTGTGCACTTTGACATAACAACTGAAGCCAGCCCTGGTTGACATGTGTGAGGAGAAGCAGGCCTCGGCCTCAGCTGTGCGCGACATCTACTGGAGGGGCAAAGAACCGCGGGCTCCCCCCTTTTGCATTGGCCACTTCAGTCCTGTCCATGCCTGCACTTCACCGCCACAAACCCGGCTTTTCTTCACAAATGTCCCCCTTTTCAGCGCCCTTTTCTCTTTCTATGGGGATCTTCCAGAGGCCCGAGGTGCAATCACTTTCCCAGATTACTCGTATTTAATACACAATGCATCATAAAACAAATCCCTCATCCTGACAGGAAGAAAATAGAACAGCTCATTCGACTTGAGCTTTCCCCAATTTATGGCTAAATTAAAAAGGCTTCCAACAATGGACAAGTCGAGCAGAGGCAGGAAATCAATGCGCTGGCTGGACCGGGGTCTCTGTGTGGTTCTCACAAGGAGCGCTGTATACAGGATCGAGCGCTGGGGTCTTGCCTTATTTACACATGATTTTTCCTGTCCTTCCTGTGCTTTTTTTGCCCGGTTAAACAATGGCCATTATCTGGGATGGAAAGGTCAATGTCAGGAGGTGTTATCCATCATCATCTGCTCTCATCAGCCAAAACAAGGAGAAAAATGCCGCTCTCCGTGGCTTTATGAGCTGCCTAATAAAGTGCATATTGACAGGGACGAGGGCGTCGTTATCCTACGCGGTGAGAGTGGCCAATAAAAGGGTTGTTCTTGCTGAAATGGAAGGAAGGAAAAGCAGGCGATCTGCAGTGCGTGTGTTTGTTCTTGCTTGGACAAATCTGCCGCTGACCTCTGCAGTCAACGCTTTTGAGGGAAAAAAATGATTTTCTTTTAGTTGTTATTGTTCCATCAGTGACGTCGCAAACACAAATTATTCAGTCGATAAATTAGGCGTTCGTTCTGTCATGTCAGGGCGTGATGAATGGGCCCACTGCGTAATTTCAAAATGCTAATGTATAATTATGTTTGTATATTGAACAGAATATAGGTTGACTTTTTTATTTCTTTCATGCACTTATTTGCCAAGTGACAGTGTGTAACTTTCTATGTTGCTTGCATGATTCCTTAAATGGACATAAGTTAAAGCCATACGTTGGTACATTTACCATAAATCAGAATTTCCATACATTGGATACTATAGGCCCTCTTTTATCAGCCATGTTTGTGGAAATGCAAGCTCACTCACAATCAGGTTGCATGTTTTGTCCTAATGAATCCCCATGCCATAAAACAACAATAAGCATAAAGGTATCATTTTCAAGTAAAAGTTAGGGACTTGGGCTTTAATACCAGTATCCCATCGCGTTGAATGTGGCTGACATTAGATTCAAATGGTTAAACAGTTGAAATACGTTTGTGGCTGTGTATTAGCTGAAAAAAAAAAAAAAAGAAAAAAGACTTCAAGCAGCCGTGCGTAAAAGTTGGGGACATTGCTTTGACGCCCGGTTTGTGCGCGCGTGTATTTCACCCTATAATGGCACAGAAGCCCCGTCTCGCCGACCTCTGGCTGACCCCCGCGCTCACCCTCTCCAACCCCCGGAGCCCCCTTTACTCCCCCCTTTTGACACTCGCGCTATTTACTGCGGCGGAGCGAAAGGAGGGACACGGCGCAATAGTTGGGCCAGTTAACTCGCGCCTGGATGGGGCTTTGGATTCGCTGCGAGTCGGGACCCAGTGCAGACACGGTCCATGCTCACTGCAAAAACAATATCTAGACGAGTTTAGAATGCCCTGAGCTAGGTGTATTTTGACTTAAACCAGGCGTAAATTTCAATTTGAACAATGTTGCAAAATGCATCTAGATCTTCGCTTATTATGGTTCTGTTAGTTTCCTCGTGCATTTGTTGTTTAGCTTCTGTCACATCTTAAGATTAGATTTTTCAGACAGAAAAGTGAGACAGAGAGGACCACCCTCACTCCAGCTCAAAACCCAAAGCTTATATTAATATAAACATATTTTCTAATAAGACGGCCTGGAGGGGTCTTATTTAGTCACAACATTATACTTTTCCAAGTCTGTTTCTGTTGGCCAAACATGACAAAGTGAGGTACCCCAGCTTTAATTGTATTGACTTAGCAATATAAATCTGCTGGTGCATGAGAACAAGACGTTTCTCACTTTTCTAAATCTCATCAAATTTGAATGATTCTCTTTAAAATCGTATGTTTCTTGAATTAAAAATAAATATTGTTATCAAACTTGATGTTAGATGCCTGTACAGGACCACTCAGTCGAATCTAAAAGAACGCACACACACAAAAAAAAAAAACTCGTCTATGATTTTTGCAGTGGATTTGGAACTGTGGCGCACGCTCCACACTCCTTCAAAACCCCCCTCGTCTCCTACCCCTCCCTCCCCTACCCTCCCCTCTCCTCCCCTCCCTCCCTTTCTCTCCTCGCGAAGCTCTCGGCTGTCATACGGACACGACACATCCCAGGCAGCGGGAGGAGGCAGGAGGGAGGGAGGGAGGGAGGAGAGAGGAAGCGCAAGGGAACAAAGTTGAATGGCTACGCGCGGAGGACACCTGGACTGACGGGACAGTGACCACAGCGCGCAGAGCGGACAGAGAGAAGCATCGTTGCAGGGAGAGAAGAAGAGGAGGAAAAAGTTTGTGCGAGAGCGAAGACGCAGAGAGCAGACGCGCTGTTTTGTTTTTTTTTATCTGAGAGAGGATTTTACGCACCGGACAGCGGACATCGGACAGCAGACTGCGGAGAGTGGAAGATAAAGTCGCAGATGTCCCGTGCGTAAAGTTGCGGAGGAGCAGGAGCAGAGAGAACGCGCGGTTGTGGTCGCGTGTTGAAGTTGTTGTTTTTGGTGGAGTTTGGACAGCAGAGTTCTGTGTGTTTTCAGCGTGTGTTTTTTTACGGAGATTTCACGTGCAGCGATACACGACAGAAAGGTGAGATCTGCTGGAAGTAAAAAGGACGTTTTGATGTTTATACGCGGCATGTGCGCATCTGTGCAAACACGCGGACAAAGAGATCAGAACGGGTTACGAGACATTTATTCAGTGACAAGTTGGCGTCAAAGGCACAAAGGCATAGACTTGATTATCAGTTTGATCCGCTCCATTTACCGAAGTTAAAAGTATACATATTTTTATTGTATTATATCTAATTGTGTCATTTCAGAATGTTTGTTATTCGACAGTTGCCCTGCTTTCTCCTATAAATTTGCACACATATAGACTAAGTATTTGTATTATTGCAACAAAACACACAAACGTACAATATTAGACAATAGGCCGATACATTCATATTATTATTGTTATGCCTCATATGATTATTGTTATTATTATTATAATTATTATAATTATAATTACTATTGCTATCATAATTATTGTTAATAATAGTATTACAATTATACCACACACTCTTTGACCTACGTATTTTAAGAGTGTAATATTACACAGGGTTTAAGATTGATGGACTACAAAAAGGGATACAAATATTTTGAAAAAATATAATACTACACTTTAATTTAAAAGTAATTCTAACCTTTTTATTGGGCTTTAAATCTCCCCTTTTTTAACTGTAGAGGCCGATGTGAAGGCCTTTTATTTCTTATGGATATTTCTTCTTCTTTCTAACGTTTTTTCCATTTTCAATGATCCATTTTGACATGTTCTCTTGTTGTATGGCTTTTATCGTGGCATTTATTCCCCAGGCCTATACCCTTGCATTTTCAAAACAACCTAATTGTCATATGTGTTGTGTGTATGTTTGGATTTGTAGCTTGCAAATCGATCGATGATCGAAATTAACTCCACATTGTTAACACACACACACACACCCACACACTCTTGTTTCTTGCTTGTGTGTGTGTGTCTGTGTGTGTGTGTGTGTGTGGATGTGCTGCTCTCAGTGGGAGGCCTCCGTGATGTGCAGTCAGTGTTTGGACACAGTTACCTGGGCTGATATTGATCAAAGACTCTTTCTCTTTTCTCTCTCTTCTCTCGTGCAGATCTTGGACGGCTCGGGCCATGTAAAATTCTGCGTGGATGCCAGCAAGCCTGATATCGGGAGCTGGCTCAAGCACGTCCAGTTCACACAAATATCCGGACTACACAACCTGACTGCGTGCCAGATAGATGAGCAGGTAAGACAAGGCCGCTTCTGTTGGGATTCAAAACCTGTGGGAGCGATTATAGTCCATCCCATAGCTGCTTCAAATGAGAAATGTCATCTACTATAAGCATATATTGTAAATGCATGTAGATTTGAATTTTCTCCAACATGGCATGCAAATATTCAGGCCTTTTTGTCCTACGAATAGTAGTGTGTTCCAACATAAGCCTGACTTTTTGATTGATAGGGCTGTAATGGCTGTTTTGATAACCAAGTAGTTATTTAAAGCCATTTATTAAGTGATTTTTAATACTCTAGACCAGAACAAAGCTAAAGTGATGCCTCTGGACAACATTTTAAGAGAGACTGGATGTAACATAATTGGTTTTTTGATTAGAAAAAATATTCTATGTCATAGTATTTTAGCTTATACAAAATCTTTCTGGCATGTTTTGGTCCAGGTATGGTTGAAAAGACAGATTAATCTATTACTAAATTAGTTGACAACTATTCAAATAATAATTTAGTCGTGAGTAATCGATCAACTTGTTACTGCCAATCAAAAAAAGACATTACAATACGTTTACAAAATTATTGAACATATAGTCAGGGGTCCTAACTTGCAATCTACAGATGTATTGTTGAGTTTCTGGCCGAAAAAAGTCGCACAAATGTACAAGTTATACACACATTTAAGAGCTTATACTCCTCACCAATCGACACAGAGTTTCAGATGATAAAAAAACAGCTTCACATCTGCCTAAAACGCATCCAGATTACGAATAAATTCAACGGGCCAAATTGCTCCGAAACCACCTAAAACACTCAAATTCGCCCTTGTCTCCTCGTCCTGCCCCACCTTTGTGCAATTAGACACCCCCCTCCCCTGCTCTTCCCCCCTCTCTCCTTCACGCCACAAGTAGCCCCTCCCACAGCCTAAAATCACATTATACGGCCTTTTTTTTATTTTGGTAGTCGCTCATACACCTTGCATGTATGGACCACAGGCTTGGATCAGAGGCTGCCAACCGCTTCGATAGTTCCACTCTCTTGCAGACAGACAATAGGATGACATGCCTGGAATGCCACCTGACGCACCAGACAAAATGCACGGAAGCCATAGAAGCCGTGCGTGCAATCTCGTCTGACCCCACGTTTGGAATATTTGCCTCTTGTTGCTGCACGGTGGTCCATCTAGATTATACCTGTTGTGTCTTTTTTTTTTTTTTTTTTTTTTTCCAAAGATGAGATTAGTGTGAGGAAAGAAGTGGACAGAAGCAGGTCCTGATGATATCATGGGAAAATACTAAAGAGATACACTGTTTTTTTTGGTGTTGAAAAAAATGTCTGAGATGAGGTGGAGGGAGAAAGTGTGTTTGATGAAAATATTTATAGCGTTGGTTTGGTTTGGTCTTATAGAGTTGTGGTTTAGTCCTTGTCTTATAATTGGTGTGTGTGTGTGTCTTCATGTGTGTGTCTGTCTGTCTCTGTGTGTGTGTAGGTCTGTCAATGCAGTGTGACAGTGCAACAAGTGGGATTTTAAAAACACAAACTAAATCTCTCTATGCAACTGCGGCAACATCTAATAGTTCAAATCTACTAAAGATTTAGATTTCACTAACTTTAGTGAAAAAAAAAAACATTGTTGCGATGTTATTGTGCACAATGGAATAATGCAATGTTTTGAGTTGTTACAACATACATCATAATGAAATAGAGAAAATAAAAAGTTCAATTCATTTGGTTGATGTATGAGAAACCACATATTTGATTTAAACAACTCTTTACACACAATTACTGGAAGAAATTCTGTGTATTGTTTTGTCCTTGTGATTTCTGCTTTTAATTATCTATTAGCTTAGCTTTTCTAGCCCTTGCTTCCTCCACTCAATATACAATTGCATGCATAGATCCAAACAAAACTCAAAAAAACATATTCAAAACTATTCAAAACTTGCACATGCCTCACTGTATGCAGCAGCCTGTCTCTGCCATAGAAGGAGGGATATGGGGGGGGTTGTGGGTGCGATTCCTAAGCCTCAGACGGAGCTGGTGGGGGGACGTGGCTGTGATGAGCTGATTGTTCGCGCTCTCACACTGTCACAACACGGCACATGTAGCGGCCTTAAGCCTTCCGGCCGACACACCGAGGAGATGGCCCACAAAGCCCTGAATGGGCACAGAATGGGGGGTCCGGCATGGAAGCAGGCTGTCAGCTCTGTCTAGTTTTCCAACCCGATTATTATGTATTTATTTGAATATTTGATGTGTGTGAGAGCATGCATGTTTATGTATGGGGTAAGCAGCTATTTCTGCAGAGAACACTTCTTCAGTAGTTTCTCTCCTCTGCTTTTGTCTAACGTGTGCCCGATTATGAACTTTCTGTGCGCTAATAACAAAGGAATTTGGTCCAGACAGCATTAATTAACTACTGGGAGTACATCATAAAAACTGCTTCCCCACTACTACTACTACTACTACTACTACTACTACTACTACTACTACTACTACTACTACTACAAGGCTATTGCTATTACTTTTGCTACTACAACTTCAATACAACTGACACTGCTTCTGCACAAGCTCAAATATGTGTTGATACTGACTGAAGTATTTAAAAGTATTTTATATGTGTGTATGTATATATATGTGCAGGTCTTGGGTCGCATTTAGACAACAATAATTTCATATTGAAAATCTGACTATTGTAGTGAAAGTTTCTCATTTTGCATTTCTCATACAAAGCTAGATTACTTTTATTTTTTTGCAAATAGGGATAATATCACATTCAGGTCACAGTATAATCAAACAAACTGAATAATAGTAATCATGGTATTTTAAATATTCTCAAATCTATATTAGTTGATAGAACAAGCATGTTTTGTCTTTTGATTTGAGTGAAATTGTTTTCTTTTTCACATATGTTTGTTCCATCTGTGAATGTTTTGAAAGATTTTTTCAATTATTGCACCATTTTCAAGTGCTGAGGAACTTGGAAGAGGAATTTAGAGAAAGGTTAGAATCCAGGAAATTATCCAACTTTGGTGATTTGTGTGGTCAATAATCATGAATATTTAAATTGTATTTCTTTAACTTTAAACTTTAAATTTGATTTGTGACATCTATCTGCAAATATAGAGACTTCTTACATTTGATTTTGAGCATAGCACCTATTGAGGCAGTAGAATGATTTAGTATATAGAAGTTCCTATATGAAATTCATTCAAAAGTCGTTTGTCGTGGCACTACTTGGCTTCTGTTCAAAAGTGAAACAGCAAACTCCATCTATTGAATTTCACTGCTGCTGCTTCTGCTGCAAGCAATACAAGCAGTTACACGCAAATACTATTACTCTATAAGCATGCATTTATTTACTATCAAAAATCTGTTTGGAAATAAATCCTCGACTGGGCTCCATGCACACCTGCAAGTCTCTTTTACATAGACTTGTTCCAGATTGCTTTTTGTGGTCCAGATGACTCCCAGCGCTCCTCATTCAAATGTGCAAAGCTAAAATACACGCTACCTATTCTCTCCATCGCCTTTTATTACCACTCTCCAAACACACATCAGCCTGGTCCCCGCCATCGCACCAGCCAGGGCCAAAACTGCACCGCTGCACAACATCACGCTCAGCAAAAAAAAAAACGGCAAAGAAATATCCCAGGCCCAGTATTTTGGCCCACGGCGTTATTTGCTGATTTATTTGGAGTGGAGTTGTATAGGCAAGCGTGGTCCACAAGTGTAGTACGTTTGGAGCATGGGTTTAGTGTGAGAATATAACCCCTTATTTCTGACCCAGTTCTGTTTATCGTAAAAGTTTATGAGCGATAGCAAAAGGAGAGAGAGGGGGAGAGGGGAAAAGGAGAGGAGAGGAGAAGAGAGGGAAGGGGAGGGGAGAATGAATGAGTTACCAGAGGGAGCGAAGCGAAAAGGGGATTGGAGCTTGTATATATGGCTGATTTTTTTTTATTTTTAATGCTTTGACAATGACTTAAAGCTGGGGTACTTAACTTTTTGTGGAATAAGTGATACATTGTGTTCGTTCTGAGAGAAAGAGTCTTGTAAAAGTAAAATTTTCTGAACAAAACAGACCACAACATGCTTTCTTAATCATATTAGAAAACATGTTATCCTGCGCATACTGGTAAAAGAAAGAGCCCTGTGAGTCACTATTTGAAGATTTGAGCTGAGAGCCGATTGGTTGATTGACTGAGGGTGGTCCTCTACTTTTGAAGGTTCTGTCTAAAAAAAGCTGATAGAAAAATTACATGTGAAAACTAGGGATGGAACCAACCTGTTCTGAGCATTTTCCTATGGTCAGAAAATTGGGTACCGCATCTTTAAATGTATCATAGTATTACTTTATCCATGTAATATATTTTGTGGTAGAAATTTGGAGGCAATTTTCAAAAACTGTTGCTTTCCATAAGTTTCCATAAGTTCCATGTATGCACTAATATTTAGGCTTTATTCAATCATTCCCAGCTATTCAAAAATGCAACTTCAAAATGCTACTTTTTAGCCTAATTTACACTTCATATTTGTATTTACCTCACATTATTTAATTCTAATTTGCACTGAAAAATTGTGATATCAACTGGTAGTACTTTTTTAAATCATAATGTATTCATTTCTAATATAAAAAAAACACAAAACACAATTTTAAAAACACAAATAATGAAAGGGGGCTGGGATGAATCTGTTTTAGGAATGAAAAAGAATGAGAAATCAATGAGAAATGCCTTACTTTTTTTTGTCCTGCTCTACAATATGCATTTGTTTTAATCCCAATATAGAACAAAATTATGTCCAGCAGATTATGTATATTTCCTCAGACTTAAAAAATGCGTAATTATGTCCGTAATAAAACCAACATGAAGAATCTTGACCTCCGAACAACACAAATATCACCTCAGATTACGCAGCCCTTGAGTGTCTGTCTTGCTCTTTTGAGTCTTTCTAATTAGACCACTCAAAAATCAATTTACAGTTTAAATCCATACGCAGGATTTTCACACGACAATTAAC